AGTACTGTTTTACGTGTAATATTTATTTCTCCTTTTAAATTGACAAAAGTCCATATTCGGACACACACAGGCTCATTTTGTTAACTTTGCTTTTTTCTTCCAGTGCTCTGAAGAGTAGGCAGTAGGGAAACTGATTCTTTCCTTTAAAATAATTAAAGGCATCACCAATTGATAAGCTGGTCTTAACATCTAACGGGCATCTGATACCTTATAGTACATCTGGTAGGGTTTGGATCTGTAACCAGTTTGGTATTCTCCATCCTCCAAACTCATGTATAGATAGCTTTCAGTTTCCAAGTAACTCATAAATTAATATTTAATGAAATCATTTGCCAGGAGATTTTCTGTTCATTCCTATTAATCTCCTGGATTATTTACATTTGGTGTGTACTGCACACTCCAAAGTCAATGACAGAGTTACAAGGACAATTTCTCATATACATTTACATCTCATAGGTAGAACCAAAGCAGGTTTATTTCCCTCTAATTATCCCCTAGAAAAGTCATCTTACTCCAGGGCAAGCAAAATCTTTTTATAAAGAACACTCTAATTACTTATTTTTGGAAATCACATAAGGTTGAAACCACCTCAATCAATGTTGCACTTTGAGAAGGCTAAAAAAAAGACCACCAGATGAATTATTTAAAAGCAGGCAAAGAAATTTAACAGTGATTTAGTCATTATTCTTGGAGATGTGACCTCAAAAACAAGCCTTGGATGTGTTACAAACATGTATTCTAGAGATCATTTTTGGCCAGGTGCAGTGGCTCATGCCTGTAATCCCAACACTTTGGAAAGCTGAAGCAGGCAGATTGCTTGAGCTCAAGAGTTCAAGACCAGCTTGGGCAACATGGCAAGACCCTTTCTCTTCCAAAAATAAAAAATAGCCAAGTGTGGTGATGTGCACCTGTGGTCCCAGCCACTCAGCAGGCTGAGATGGGAGCCTGGGAGTAAGAGATTGCACCACTGCACTGCAGCCTGGGTGACAGAGTGAGACCTTGTCTCAAAAAAAAAAAAAAATCATTTTTAAGAACAATGTAAGTGATTCAACTGTAAAAATCACAATTACAATTACCTACAGAATGAATGGGAGAAACTGCTAATTTAATGTTTATAAATACAATAGGTAATGTGAAGCATGGGATTTCTCATAACTTTGTACATGGATAAAACATTACTATCTTTTCTTGCTAATAAACTTAAAACTACATTTTCTTTCTAGTAAAATTAAGACAAGAAACTGACAGACTTTGGAAAGCTGGTAGGTCAAATGTCAAAGATAAACGTGACCATAATGAACAAAATTAATGAGTGGGAAAATGTTATTTCATACAATTAAAATATGCACATATAATTTATCTCTAGACTCTAGAATGAATTCTAAATAAATCTGGTGTTTTAAAAAATTAACCTATAGGGTATTTTAGGCGACATCCTGCACCACCCCACCTCCCACAAATTAAGTGACAAAACTATAGAAATCAAACTGGACCAAAGATTCTGAGACTTGGCACTACCGACATTTGAGGCTAATTCTTTGTTGAAAGGGCTGTCCTGTGAATGGCAGCATGTTTAGCAGCATCCTTGGCCTCATCCCACTAGATACCCTAGTATACCTCCTCTCTGAGTTGTGACAAAAATGTCTCCAGTCGTCAAATGTCCTCTGGGGGGCAAAATCACTCCAGATGAGAAACACTGCACTATATAAATGAATGCCATGTCAAACATCCCCAGGTAAGTAGCTTCCACATTGTTCTTGATGTACCATTTTCTAATTGTTTGAAATCTAATTAAAATACATGGTGACAACAGTTGGTTACTGTTATCATTGCCTACATCTACTTCTATTTCATGTAAAAATAACAAATTTGCTTGGTGTGGTGGCACACAACCTGTCAGCGCAGCTACTCATGAAGCTGAAGAGGGAGGATTACTTGAGCCTGAGTTCAAGCCTAGCCCGGGCAGTATAGTGAGAGCACATCTCTAAATAAATAAATAAATAAATAAATAAATAAATAAATCATTTAAGGCAGTTATTAAGTATAGCTGTTACTGATAATTAAAACTGAAAAATACACATTTATTAAAATAAAGCATTCATAGAACCAAATTCGTAAGATATACCAATTGAAATAAAATCTTTATCAGAATGGAAATATTACTCTATATAAATATAGAACTATGCTGTTAGTGTTTATCCATATTCTGAATTTTTTTTTCCAGGATTGCCTTTTCCAAACCAGATTTTTTCTTGTCTTCATAACAGCGACTTAAATTACTAATACCAATGAAAGGGGATATAAACAGTCAATAGCAGATATTGCAAATAGTTTGACCTCAGAGTACATTCAATTTTATTTGTTGCAATCATCTGGATATGTTATGCTAAAATTAACTTATAGTCCCTGAATCACTAGATGATGGAGAGCTGAGCATAAAATTATTTGAAGAATTTGGACTAACATTAAATATTCATCATGAATAACTGAATGTGGACTATAATTTCTAAAAACATTTTATTTTCATATGCTGATGTAATTTATATCCAGACACAATAATCAAATACAAAACAGAAAGCAAGACTCTCAATTTCTAGTTTATAGTTTAAAAAAAAATCTCTTTATTAACCTGTTACAGAATACATTTTTTAAAATATAAGTACAAAAAAATTCTGGGCGATCACCAAAAATGTAATCAATAAGGTTAAATTCCTTTGTTTCTCTGAATCCTCTTTTTCCTATAATGAAAGTGTATTTTTTAAAGCTTAAGAAATTCTTTTTGCACTATCTTTTCCCACCCATTTTATCATAGTTTGTGTCCTACCAATTAGGACCTTGGTGAACTGCTCACAGTAATCTTGTTTCCTGGGTTTTATTTCAAACTGTCCTGAACTTTTACTACACTAATTTTTGCTAAAGGCAGTTCCTAGTAACCAGTTATTTACCTTTTTAGATAAAAACTATGCACAAAAAACCAACTGTCTTATGATGAGACCTTCAAGTTAGGAGGTGAACAGTCTATGCAGCATAAGACAAATCATAACTCTGACCTTTAAATTTCCTCGTTTCACAAGAACTATCAAATTCCTTTTTAAAAGGGTACACACATACGTTTTTAATTTGGAAATTCCATATTTGGTGAAAATCCAAATTTTAATTACTGTGGAATTTTGACAACTCTAGCAATGGCAAAGTTGAATTTATTTCACTATTATCTATCAAAAAGCAAGTAACATTATAAGATTTCGAATATGTTTAACCTGGTAAAAGTGATAATTTATTTCAATCAAAGGCATACCATCTAAAAAAAAAACCGTATTGCTATCTAGCCATATGCATTTCTTATTATATTTTTGCAACCCCTAAGTGTTCAGAATAAATGTAGCATTCACATAATACTATAGGTCCATGAAAAGAGCATATTTTTATTGATTTTTGTTCATACATGTTAAGTTTCAACTTTCAATAATAAAATTCAATAAATTTGATTCCTTAATCATAAAAACTTGCTTTACACATAATTTACATGTTGTCAAAGTCCATACAAAACATCAGAAGGATTTGATTGACTCTATGCATGATACCATCACACAGAAGAAGGAGCTAACCCAGTAACATACATTCAAAGATTAAATTGTAGATATGCACAGTGTATTTGGCACTGTTCATTAATATTATAACACCTTCCTCTCAAAGACAGGCATTCTTAAGCGTTAGTCACACTATACCAGAATTTGCAATTCACATTAAAACCACCTTTTAAACTTTGTAACAGCAACCAATTATTATAGTTTTAAGAAACAAAACACAATGAAAACTGGGAATGGAATTCAAATCCTCCAACTTCCTGCTATGCTCCAAGCTGCCATCCATAAAATAAGTTTAATTTGGCATAATATTTCCATTGTGGAGAGTGTCAAGAAGAAACCATTTAAAGACAGTATTTTCCAATATAAATAAAGACACACACTTTTGTTTAAAATTATCAGTTTTTCTTGGGGTGCAAAGGGAGCCTTGATGATGCACAACTTGTGATGATTTTGGCAGGAAGTATAGAACAACCAATGGCATTCAAGCTGTGGAGACTGTACTAGCAGGTGAACTCATACAGAGAAGGTTCTGGAATGCCTATAATTGAAATCAGAATCCTAGTAGTTTGTGGTAAGGGTCTCTTCCTAGAACTTCAAGAAACCCAAGTCACAGGCTACAGATGTACTTTCAAGTATATACTTATTAATGGAATGAGAAAATAAAAGTACAAAAATGCAAATATTAAACCTTTAGTGGCTTGGGCTATATTCCAGTAGGTAATGTATTTGACTAACTTCACTTTAACAAAGATTAAATCCCTTCATTTTTATCAGGTCCATTAAATTTCATTCATTAAAGCTATACATACTCCAGAATGTTTATAAGACATTTATACCTGTCATGTTTATAAAAGGCATAAATTCAGTCTCAAGCTGCACTAGAAATGCCTCAATATAACATAATCACAGTATAAGGAAACAAATTCTCTGATTAGATATGCTGTGGCTTCACACAAAACTCTCAGTAATAAATTAAAACAAAAACAAAGTCTTACACAATGTATAATGGACGATGCAGTGCAAAGTAATGTCACTGGACCAAAATTTAGTTTAATCATTTTTATTTCAAGTGTATTTTAAAAATCATAAATGGGGTTTCATAATCCAGCGTTGAAACATTTATCCTTCATAGCTTCAGAATTTGACATGGAATTGTAGACCATGCTTTTCAAATCCAGTCTTCTTTGCTATTTTTCAAACTTCTGAGATCTAGTATTAAACTGCTCCATTCTAAATGTACGGTTTTAGATAACTATTATACACTTGTTGATAAGGGTTTTCTGAAAACAGTCTATCAAATATAAAGAATGGTTTCTATCTAAGAATCAGCAGTGAGGGAAGAAATATTAGACACCTATCAAGAAGTCAATTATTCATTTTAAAAATAACAGAACCAGTGCTGCTCTGTCATAAAAGAGAACATGTAAAATTTATTTTTATAGACTTTGGTAATATTTTATTCCCCACAGAGGCCTTCAATCCTTTTATACACAGTAATCATCAGGGATTACTGAGTAAAAGTCTCAGGCATTAACCACGGCCCTAAAATGTGCTATTCCAAAGAGTAACAGGTTACTTTTGAGGAAAAAAGCTGCCTTAGTAACTTCCCTCAAATGTTTATTTTAAATAAAAATAGTTGGTGAAAATATTTTTTAAACCAACTTTGGCTATAATATGGCATGCTGCCCATCAAACAAAAAAGGAAAACAAAACTTACTTTCCTTTTAAAATGAGTTCTCCATCTTTACTTTTAAGATTACAGCATATTCACCTTTTATGCTTGTTTGCTTTTTTCGACTGCCTAATCCAATATTTAAATTTTTTAAAGTCTATATTTCAATTAAGAGTTATTTTTCAAATAATCTTCATAACCCAGAATGCAGACACCAGAGCAACACTCTCAAGTCACAATGTTTGACTATAATAAAGAGATGAAAATGGACGGATATATGAAGATAGGTATTCCCTCTGCTCTCTCCGAAGGTGAGCAAGCTTTTAACACATGAGCAACACAGAACTCCATTCCTCTGGAGCTCCTTTAAACTCAGAATGCTTCAATTCAGTAAGTCAATATATTATTCTTAAAAATTAAAATTTGGTCACTAAGAAGGACTGAACAAAAATTATTCCCCTCCCATCAAACACAACGTGAAAAGTTCTTCCAGGCCCTCTTCTCCCCACAAAAACAGGGAAGTAGCTGGAGCTGAAAACGTTAAGTGTGACATTCCAGTTCCTAAAACATCGTTGCTATCTGCTCAAAGTTGTAGGTCTCTATATTTCCTTCTCCAATACGTCCCCATTTATAAGTTTATTTCCACACATACAAACGTGCACATGTGTGCACGTGCACACACGCACGCACACACACACTCACTCAATCTCAAGTAAGACACTTTTTTGTATTTGCTGATAAATTATGAGGATTATGAACTAGTGTGTACAGGGTGCTTTGTAAACATCAGAGTCACTTAGGTCCTTTCCTCCATAAGCCTAAAATCAAATTATGCAACCTATGACCACTACTTTCCCAGACGCTGTTCACAGGCTGCATATTGACGAAGGGCAGAGAAAAAGTCCTCATAACTGATGTTTAGGTGGGAAGGCAAAGAGCTGAAAAGAAAACATGGGGGAAAAAAAGCAATTAGATAGATATACACTGTATGTAATGTAGGAGGGAACCAGAGGATAAGGACCAAAAACAGGTTAAGAATAGAATACCCGAAATTGTCCTCTACCAGACAGGACCAAGACAGGCAAGAAAATGTCTTAGTCATAGTATGGAGACCGGAAGGATGGAGCCCTGACAGAACAGACAGGGAAATAGCGGAGAGCCTCTGAGGCACCGAGGGGTAGTGGCACTTGCTGTTTATTGACGAGTGTTTATTGAAGATAGGTATTCCCTCTGCTCTGAAGGTAAATTATAAGGAGAATATGCCAAGCCACTTCTACTAAGATCATTCAGCTCATTGTGAAAGAGTTCAAGTAAAAAACTAATATGCCTTTTCTACAAGAAGAGAAAAGCAACTAGTAATCAGAGATTCTTAACTTGTTAACCCATAAGCTTAGATTAATGCAAAGGTGGAGGTCTATGTATAAAGGATCTCATTTAAATCCACTTGAAGAACTCCTTTTGGTCAGAGTAAAGCCAGTACTACTTAATTTAGGAAAGTCAGGCTTAATGTTAGGCAGAGCCACACAGCATCCAAACATGATGATATATTGTAGTCATGTTGTAAGCAACCTATAAATCAACACTTACCTCCACCATTTCCAATTACTCAAGGGTAATTACAGTGTGAAAATAAGCACTTTAAAGATAGGCTGAATGCACAATCAGAAGGTTCCCTTTATGACATAAATTATAAGTAATTATTAATTTTCAATAAGTAACATGAAAAACATCTGTAATTTATACAGCTTTATAATGAGGCCTGGAAATTCTAAACTGTATCAGAGTCAAACAGCTGGTCAGAATAGAAGAGTCACATTCTGAGTCTGAAAGTCGTGTGCACCACAAAAAAAAAGACTGAACAAACCTACCATGAAAGGACTCCTGCCTGACTCTGTGGTTCTCTTTAGCTATACATTTCTTTATCCTTCCTATGACTGCCAAAAATTCTGAAACAAGTCACCTCATCATCTCTTAATAATCTCTGTTATCAACCTTATGTCTTATTCATGCCACTGAAATAATATGTTCAAAGAGCACATTTAATGCATTCTTCTTGCTAAAGCTTGCTTCAAATGTCCTCCAACTCTCCATTTTCCTAAGTCTGCCTCCTCTTACCCCTTCAATCAACATCCTCATCTCCTATAGCTCTTCAATAAACAGAGTGCCACTACCCCTCAGTGCCTCAGAAGCTCTGTTGCGATTTATCAGTCTGTTCTGTCAGAGTCCTGCCCTTTCCCTCTCTATATTATGATTAAAACATTTTCCCTGCCATCAGAGTGCTCAGTCTCACAGAGGGTACACAAATACAAAGCAAACCTCAGTATAATGTGATATAGCTATCACAGACATGTACATAGGTTAAACGAAGAGCCTGTTATTTGCATTGTATCTTCTCTATTGTCAGATTTAAATCCTCAACTCCACATTATCATGCCCTTTGTACAAATATACAGAAGTTTAAATAACTTTCCAAAGTCACGTTATCGTGCTGCATTGCCAAGATTCAAACCAAGATCTATCTGTTCTTCCCTCCAAACCACTCCCAACGGTACACAGCATCACTGCTGCCATACTTGGAGACCAACTGAAATGACTTGAAAACCGCTGGAGAAAACCATGTAACAGAAACTTACACCAACCATAAAGAAACTCTGAGTCTGGAGATCTGGGTTCTAACTCACTTTGTGACAAGCCTGAACAATGTTTCTTTCCTGTTTTCCTTACCTATAAAATGAGAAGGTAGGACCAGATGATTTAGAGTTCTTTCCAACTCTTAACATGCTACCTGTTCTGTTTTTGATACTTTGTCCCTCCTGCCCCCAAGCTTAAAGGACCCCTTCAGACACTCTGGAGAGATACTCTATATTCTCATAGGTTCAACCACTTCTTAGGTTATGATGATACCCAAACATACATCTTTAGCCTTGACTTCTCACTCAAAGCATCAATTCTACATCCTTATCTGTCCTACACTAAGCATATGCATCCAAATAGACTATGGCCTCAAAATCATCTGCATCTTCCCCTCAAAAATGAATATTACCTTCACTTTCTGGTTTCCTCTCAGTATCCTAACTACTTAGTCACTTAGGCTTAAAAACTTAGGAGCCATTTCATCTCTTCTCTAACTTTATTACAATTAGTAAAGTGCTAGGCCTGCAATTATACTTGGTAAACACTTGTCATGAGAGAGAGAATTTGTAATATTCTCCTTCTAAGACCCGGAATTTAAATATATTTTAAGGCTACTATGTCTCTCCTTTGTTCTAAATCAGGGGTCAGCAAATACAGCCCAGGAGACTGATACTTGACTCTGTAAATAAAGTTTTATCAGAACATGATCAGGACCCTTGTTTACATATCATCCATGGTTGTTTAGCTATATCAGCAGATAACTGCCACTAATTATCTTAAAAGATAATTGGTATCTTTTAAGATATAGCTAAACAGAAGAGCACTTGTAACTGCTCCTCTCTATTACAGATATACATAGCTATAGCTATGTATATCTGCAATAGAGAGATACACAGCTATGTATAGCTATAGCTACGTATAGCTGCAACAGAGAGGAACAATTATAAATGACTGCAAAGCCTAAAATATTTACTATCTGGCGCTTTATAGAAAAAGTTTGCCTAAACTGTTCTAAATAAGAGAATTTCATTCTCCTCCATGTATTCTCCCTTAAATTATAGTTATGGCCTCTTCATTTGTCTTTTTATCTAATCCTTTCCCAAATCCAATCCACTCTAGTGCATAAGCTGCTAAACAAATCTTTCAAAATCACCATTCCCACATCATATGCAGGCTCAACAGGTCTTCCTATTGCCTGCCTACCACTATACACATTTCTTATGCTGGCATTTAAAGATTTCTGAGCCTTGACATCTCGGAACTATTTGATTTCATCTCATACTACTGGCTGACACTGTCTGCTCTTATTTCTTCAAAACACGCCCCCAGGATTTCTCCCCCCACCCCTACCCCCCCGCCTCACCTTTTCTCTAAATATGGAAACCATTTTATTTATCCTCAGATCAAGCCACACCTTTTACAATTACCTCTCACTCCTGATCTTTTAAGATAATTAGTGGCAATACCAAACATCTGCACAGTTATATGCGCTTTTGTGTCTAACTCATTTATGTATGACCTTATTTTACCAGTGGTACTGTGAAATAACTGAGGTAAAGGATCGAATTTTATAATTCTTTGGAAATCCCCACCAGATCTAGTACAGTGCTGAGCTCAAGAAATACTTGCTGAATCGAAACAAAGTCAGTATACTTTTAATTACTTACACAATCTCAGTCAATCTGATGTGCCAGGGAAGAAAGCCTAATGTGCTGTCCACAGGACCAAACTTCAATACTAAATCAGGATCAGGACAACCATTTGAACCTTGGAAATAAAGAAGCACACATGAACTTAACATGCACTGTGTGCACACACACACACAAACACACACAGACCAAGGGCAAAATCTCTTAATCAAACTGGCTTCTTAAACTACCTGTTTTCTTCCGAAGTTTTATTTGTATGTCTCCATGCCCCCCCTCATAACTCTCTAATACGTATTTTAATATCTATGCTCATTCCAAATGTGGAAATTTTCTCAAAAGTCCATTTAACTGGATTGATTACCTGATAAGAAGGGGTAACCAAACTCCCACACTATGCCTAATAGGCGTCCCCAAAATCACATGTATCTTTTAAGATTCAATGTAGGTGATCTCTTGGAAACCTGGGAAAGGTACTATTGTTCTAAGGGCATGACTGCTTAATTCTAGCCACAAAATTGAATAACTTCAGAGATGAAAGGGAAATTTTAAAAGTATCTATTCTCTTTCCTTCTCTCATGTACCTCGTTTTACAGCCATGAACCCAAAAAGATCAACTCCTAGCTATATACTACAAATGTCTTCAATGTTCCTCAGAGCCTGAGCAGCCTCAGAGAGGAAAAGGAGACCAAGCATCTGGCCTCAGCAGGGGCAAGGTCAAGTTTTATCTCTTTCATGAAGTGGTTTCCACATGAGACCTGACTTGGGAAAAAAAAAGAAAGCATAAGGGTATATATGGGGATCATGATAACCTAGGAAGTAGCTGAACCTATGAGAATACAGAGTATCTCTCCAGAGGGTATGAAGGGGTCCTTTAAGCTTGGGGGCAGGAGGGACAAAGTATCAAAAACAGAACAGGTAGCATGTTAGAGTTGGAAAGAACTCTAAATCATCTGGTCCTACCTTCTCATTTTATAGGTAAGGACAACAGGAAAGAGACATTGTTCAGACTTGTCACAAAGTGAGTGGGATTACTGGATCATATGGTAGCTCAATATTTAGTTTTTTGAGAAACCTCCAAACTGTCTCCATACTGGCTGTACCAACTTACAGTCCCACCAACATGGTACAAGGATTTCCTTTCTCCACATCCTCACTTGCATTTGTTATTACCTGTTGTTTAGAAAAAAGCCATTTCACGTAGATCCGATTTGCATTTGCATTTCTTCAATGATCAATAATATTGAGCCATCTTTGCATAAACATATATCTATTTGCTATCTGTATGTATTCTTTTGAGTAATACCTATTCATGTCTTTTGCCCAATCAGATTATTAGATTTTTTCCCTATAGAGTTGCTTGAGCTTTTTACATATTCTGGTTATTAACCCCTAGTCAGATGGGTAGTTTGCAAATAATTTCTCCCATTCTCTATGTTGTCGCTTCACTTTACTGTTTCCTTTGCTGTGCAGGAGCTGTTTAACTTGATGTGATCCCATTTGTTCACTTTTGCTTTGGTTGCCTGCGCTTGCAGGGTATTAGTCAAGAAACCTTAGACTAGTTCAATGTCCTAGAGAGCTTCCCCAGTGTTTTCTTGTAGTAGTTTCTTAGTCTGAGGTCTTAAAGTCTTCAATGCATTCTGATTTTTATATATCAAAGAGATAGAGTTCTAGCTTCATTCTTTTGCATATGGATATCCAGTTTTCTCTGCACTATTTATTAAAGATACTAGTTTTCCCCATTGTATGTTCTTGGCACCTTTGTCAAAAATGAGTTCACTGCAGATGTATTTGTTTCTGGATTCTCTATTCTGTTTCCTTAGTATGTGTGTTTTTATGCCAGTACCATGCTGTTTTGGTAACTACTGGCAATCAGGTAATGTGATTCCTCCAGTTTTGTTCTTTTTCACTTTAGCTATTCTGGGTCTTTTTGTGGTTCCATATAAATTTTAGGATTTTTTTTATATTTCTATGAAGAACATCATTAATATTTTGACAGGAATTGCATTGACCGCAGATGGCTTCGGACAGTATGAACATTTTAACAATATTGATTCTTCTTCCAATCCATGAACAGGAAATAACCTTTTTTTGGTATCCTCCTTAATTTCTTTCATCAATGTTTTATAGTATTCATTGTAGAGATCTTTCACTTCTTTGGTTAATTCCTAGATACTTAATTTTATTTGCACCTATTGTAAATGGGATTACTTTCTTCTTTGTCAGATTTTTCACTATTGACATATAGAAATGCTACTGATTATTTTTGTATGTTGGTTTTGTATCCTGCAACTTTACTGAATGTGTTTACCTGTTCTAATAGTTGTTTGGTGGAATCTTTAGGTTTCTCCAAATTTGAGATCATATCATTTGCAAACAAGAATACTTGGACTTCTTCCTTTCCAATCTGAATCCCTCTTCTTTCTTTCTCTGGTATGATTGCTCTAGCTAGGACCTCCTATACTATGTTGCATAACAGTGGTTAAAGTGGACATCCTTGTGTTCTAGATCTTAGAGGAAAGGCTTTCAGTTTTTCCCCATTCAGAATAATAGCTATGGGTCCATCATATATGGCTTTTGTTATGTTGTAATATTTCCTTCTACACCCCGTTTTTTAAGGGTTTTTTAAATCATAAAAGTGTTTAATGTTATCAAATGCTTTTTCAGTATCAACTGAAATGATCATGACTTTTAACTTTCATACTGTCAATATGATATATCACATTCATTTATTTGTGTATGTTCAACCATCCTTGCATCCCTGGGATAAATCTCACTTGGTCATGATCTTTTTATCATATTGTTAAATTTGGCTTGCCTTTATTTTATTGAGGATTTCTTCATGAACATTTATCAGTGATATTGGCTTATAGTTTTTTGTTGTTGTTGTTGTTTTTTAATGTGTCTTTGCCTGGTTTAGTAACATGGTAATACTGGCTTCATAGAATGAATCTGTAACCATTCTGTCCTTCCTATTGTGCAGAATAGTTTAGTAGAATTGGTATTAGTTCTTCTTTAAATATTTGGTACAATCCAGCAATGAACCCATCAAGTCTTGAGCTTTTCATTGCTCTAAGACTTTTTATTACTTTAGCTTCAATCTTGTTACTTATTACTGGTCTCTACAGGATTTGGATTTCTTCATGGTTCAATCTTGCTGGGTTGTATGTGTCTAGGAATTTATTTCTTCTAGGTTCTCCAACTTATTGGCATACAGTTGCTTACAGTAGCCACTAATGATCCTTTGAATTTCTGCAGTACCAGTTACAATATCTTCTCCCCATCTCTGAGTTTATTTATTTGGGTCTTCTGTGTTTTTTTTTTTTTTTCATGGTCTAACGGTTTCTCAATTTTTTCTTTTCTAAAACACCAAATTTCTGTTTTGATCTTTTGTATATGTTTTTTCATTTCAAATTCATGTATATCTGCTTTGATCTTTATTATTTCTTTTCTTTTTACTAACTTTTGATTTGCTCTTGCTTTTCTAGTTCTTCAAGCTACATCCTTAGGTTGTTTGTTTCTTTTCTTTTCTGATGTGGGCATTTATAGCTATAAACTTCCCTCTTAGTACTGCTTTGCTGTATCCCAAAGGTTTTGGTATGTTGTATTTTTATTACCTTGTTTCAAGAAATTTTTCAATTTCCTTAATTTCTTCATTGACCCACGGATAATCCAGGAGCATACTGATTAGTTTCAATGTGCTTGTATAGTTTGCAACATTTCTCTTGTTACTGATTTCTAGTTTTATTCCATTGCGGTCAGAGAAGATGCTTGATACTATTTCAATTTTTGTGAATGTTTTAGACTTGCTTTGTGGCCTAACATTTGGTCTCTCCTTGAGAATCTTTCATGTGCTGATGAGGACAATGTATTTTCTGCAGTCATTGAATAAAACGTTTTGTAAATATCTATTAACTCCCTTTGGTCTATAGTGCAGATTAAGTTCAATGTTTCTTTGTTGATTTTCTATCTTGATCTGTCCAGTGTTGAAGTGGGGTGTTGAAGTCTCCAGCTATTATTGTACTGGGCTCTATTTCTTTTTAGCTCTATTAATATTTGGTTTATATATCTGGGTTCTCTAGCGTTGGGTGCATATGCATTTACAATTGTTATATCCTCTTGCTGAACTGATCCCTTTACATTAGATAGTGAACTTCTTTGTCTCTTCTTAGAGTTTTTGTCTTGACATAAATATAGTAACTTTTGCCCTTTTTGGGTTTCCATTGGCATAAAATATCTTTTTCCATTCCTTTATTTTTCAGTCTCTGTGTGTCTTTATAGGTGAAGTGTGTTTCTGGTAGGGAACAGATCATTGGGTCTTGCTTTTTATCCATCAGGCCACTGATTGAAGCATTTAGTCTATTTACATTCAATGCTATTACTATAAGGACTTCCTGCCATTTTGTTATTTGTTTTCTGGTTGTTTGTGGGCTTCTTTTCCCTCTTACCTCCTTCCTGTCCTCCTTTTAGGGAAGGTAACTTTCTCTAGTGGTATGAGTTAATTTCTTGCTTTTTATTTTTTGTGTATCTTATTTTTTGATTGGAAGTTACCATGAGGCTTGCAAATTCTATCTTATAACCCATTATTTTTAGGTGATAACAAGTTAACACTGCTTGCATAAACAAATAAGCAAAAATAAAAACTGTACTTTACATTCATCTCCCCATTTTAAGACTCTGTTATTATTTATATCTTATTGTATTGTCTATGTCCTCAAAAGCTGTTGTAGTTATTATTGACTGAGTCATCTTTTAATCTTTTTACTTGACTAGTTTACACATTACAGTTACACTGCTGTAATAGCATATTTACTATTACTAGTGAGAATTATACCTTCAGATGATTTATTGCTCATTAACATCTTTTGCTTTCTGATTAGAAGTGCTCCCTTTAGGATTTCTTGCAGGGCAGGTATGGTGTTGATTAAATCTCTTAACTTTTGTTTGTCTAGGAAAGTCTATTTCTTCTTCATGTTTGAAGGATAATTTCACTGAGCATACTATTATTCCAGCACTTTTTTTAATATGTCATGCCACTCTCTTCTAGCCTGTAAGGTTTCTACTGAAAAGTCTGCTGCCAGACATAATGGACCTATATTGTATGTTGTTTCTCTTCTCTTGTTGCTTTTAGGATCCATTTTTTTTTTTTAATCCTTGACCTTTGGGAGTTTGATTATTAAATGCCTTGAAGTAGTCACCTTTTGGTTAAATCTGCTTGGTGTTCTATAATCTTCTTGTAGTTGAATGCTGATATTTTTCTCTAGGTTTGGGAAGTTCTCTAAGTTTGAAAAAACTTTGTACCCCCATCTCTCTCTCTCTATCTCCTATTTAAGACCAATAACTTAGATTTGCCCTCAAGAGGCTATTTCCTAGATTTTGTAGGTGTGCATGCTTCATTCTTTTTTGTCTCCTCTGCGTATCTGTAAATAGCTTGTCTTCGAGCTTATAAAACTTTCCTCTGCTTGATCAATTCTGCAATTAAGAGACTCATGCCTTTTCATTTTCAGTATGTCAACTGCATTTTCAACTGCAGAATTTCTGCTTCATTCTTTTTAATTATTTCAATCTCTTTATTAAATTTTTTTTCTTGAGACAGAGTCTCGCTCTGTTGTCAAAGGTGGAGTGCAGTGGCACGATTTCGGCTCACTGCAACCTCCGCCTCCTGGGTTCAAGCAATTCTCCTGCCTCAGTCTCCCGAGTAGCTGGGATTACTGGCGCATGCCACCATGCCCAGCTAATTTTTTTGTATTTTTAGTAGAGATGGGGTTTCACTGTGTTAGCCAGCATGGTCTTGATCTCCTGACCTCGTGATCTGCCTGCCTCAGCCTCCCAAAGTGCTAGTGTGAGCCACCGCGCCTGGCCTCTTTGTTAAATTTATCTGATAGAACTCTGACTTTCTTCTCTGTGTTATCTTGAATTTCTTTGAATTTCCTCAAAATACTTATTTTGAATTATCTGTAAGGTCACATATCTCTGCTTTCCCAGGATTAGTTTCTGGTGTGTTATTTAGTTCACTTGGGGAGGTTATGTTTTCCTGGATTGTCTTAATGATTGTGGTTGGTCCTAGGTGTCTGGACACTGAAGACTTAGGTATTCATTGTAGTTTCACAGTCTGGGCTCATTTGTACCCATCCTTCTTGGGAGGCTTTCCAGGTATTTAAGGGACTTGGATGATGTGACCCTATCTAAGCATCAGGAGGCACCACAAGCCCAGTAACACTGTGGTTCTTGAAAACTCACAGAGGTACTGCCTTGGTCGTCTTGGGTAAGATCGGAAAAATTACCAGGCAGAGACTCCTGTTCTCTTCCCTTATTTATTCCTAATGAAACAGAGTATCTCTCTCTGTGCTAAGTCACCTGGAGCTGGAGGTGGGGTGACACAAGCACCCCTATGGCCACCATCACTGGGACCAAGCTGGATCAGATCTGAAGCCAGCATAGCACTAGATCTCACCCAAGGCCTGCTGTACCCACTGTAGAATGGCTAAAATTTTAATAAACCAAGCTGGCAATATCATGTCTTGGCAGGGATGTGGAGAAACTAGTACCCTCAATATTGCTGGTAGGGATGTTAAATGTACAGCCTATTTAGGAAAAAAAGTTTGGCAATTTCTTTAAAAGTGAAGCATTCATTCACCATACAATACAGCAATTCTACTACTAAGAGTCTGCTCAAAAAAAAGAAAAATGTCGACATAAGAACTTGCACACCTATGGTCATACAGCATTATTCAAAAACCAGAAACAAACCAAATGTGTATTAACTGATGAATGCATAAGCAAAATGTGGTATATCCAGAAACTACTACTCACCATAAAAAATAAGGAATGACTAACCATTTTACACAGATGAACCTCAAAAATATTATGGTAAGTAAACAAAGCAAGACATAAAAGACTATATATTGTACGATTCCTTTTACATAAAATTTATAGAAAAAGCAAAAGTATAGTCAGAAACCAGACTAGTGGTTGTTGGTTTAGGGGGCAGGAATGGGGACTAAATGCAGTCACAGGAGAACTTTGGAGGTGATGGTATTCAGAGTGCTCATTTCTGTCAAATTAATGAGTTAAGAATTATGTACATTTTCGTTTATCACGAGCCTAGAATCCCTGCAGTTAACATCTGAGCTTAATAAACATTAGAGCTTTCCCATGGACTACCTGAAGGTCATCTTTGGATCTCCATCAACTTTTAGAATGTCCCTATAAAATTACTCTCTCACTGGAGCATCATAGGGTATAGGAAACAGTCAACATCCCAGTAACCTCTGAGCAGAGCCCCCACAATGGTCTACTACTCAATGAGCCTGAATATAGTGAGACAATGACAGATGACAGAGTACAGAATATAAGAGTAGGGTAAGAAGCAAGTAGTCAACAAAAGTAGGAAGTCAGCAAAAAAAAGAGGCGGGAGATTGACTTTGCTCTGTGATGGATATATGTCAAAGTGGAAGAAACAAAAAATGGACAGTTAGTAAGTAAGTTACACAGAAAATGCATTTCTTTTTCTTTTTCTTTTTCTTTTTTTTTTTTTTTTTGAGACAGGGTCTCACTCTGTTACCCAGGCTGGAGTGCAGTGACACAATCTTGGCTCACTGCAACTTCTGCCTCTCGAACTCAAACCTCAAATTATACTCCTTCTTCAACCTCCTGAGTAGCTGGGACCACAGGTGTGAGCCACCATGCCTGGCCAATTTTTTATTTTTTCGTAGAGAGAGAATCCTGGTATGTTGCCCAGGTTGGACTCAAACTCCTGCGCTCAAGTGATCCACCTGCCTCAGCCTCCTAAAATGCTGGGATTACAAGTGTGAGCTACCCCACCCAACCTGAAAACACATAACTAATAAGTAAATGGATACTGTAAGTAATAAAAAAATAATGTCTAAAACTGTATGACTATAGAAACTATTAATGAACATGAATTTATTAGGGAGATTGTCTTTCAAAAGGATCAAGGCTAATGCTAGTAAACAAGAAGGACCATGAAATTCAGGCAAAAAGGTCCTAGAAGGAATTCTCTAGAGAGAACAAGCAAACCAAAAGCTTTTTTAAACAGCTGAAGAAAAAATGTTGTATTTGGTATAACATGACAAAGACAGTTGTATATTTGGTACAGCATCACAGAAAGAATGAAAAAGGAATCATGGGTAACAGTAAGATTATATTCCTGGGATCACCTCATAAAAAGATATTAAGTTCAAAGTTAAGGGAAAGTTCAAACTAAAAAGCAAGAGGAAGAGGAAGGCTGCAAGCAGAGTCCTATGTTCAAGAATATACATCCCTGCAAAAAAGATCCTCAAAGGTCCTCCCCTTTACCATTAAATCCTCATGCAAGTGAGTGGCTACAAATCTCATTGTCTTGAAATCATTTACACAAGGGTCTTTAAATTGCAGAATTATAACAGGTATAACACCAAAAAGAATCAGGCTTTACAGAGTGAAAGAAATGTAAATGTTTTTTCATACTGTATCCTTGTGTGACAAAACTAAACACACATACACAGACACACACACATACATATATGTATATATATAAATAAAACTTACTAAGTAAACTGCCTAACATATCTACATCCAAATCTGTGGGTCTCTTTTGCTTCTGGGCTACTAACTGGCAAAAGTCCTGAGCAGCTCTCACAATATCTGCTTTTCCATCTTCTGGGGACAGCACCTTCACTGCCAAATGGCAATTTAAAACTGGAGGAAAAAAACAAACAATGTAGTGTAAAAACACGATCTTACAGGTATATTTCAAAATCAGTTTTAAGAAACATTAAGTTTAGAGCAAAATAAACACACAGTTCTTTAAGCTCTCCAATTTCAATATCAAAACATACTTAGCTACTTTCCTCTGAAAGGACTCATGTACCCCAAATCACATCCATGTACATATTCATACACTGCCTTCTTTTCAAAGCGTTCAGAATGACTATGTATTGTGACTACATCCTCTAGAAAACAGAAATTTTATAAGCAGCTAACAAATTTTCACACATCTAAAATTTACCTAGAATTGTGATACAGTTAGCAGTTAATACAGAATAAAAGAAAAAATAAAAACCGTAAGGGAAAACTGTTACATTGGAATACACACTGCCTATAGCATACACACCTTTATCAATTCTGGTTCCATAGGAGCTATTTTACAACTGATAGGATTCTTGGATAACTGCAAAATTCTTATCTATAGACACGCAAATTCTTTCTTGTCTAGTAAAGGCTCAATTTCTTTCCTCACCCCATAGAACAACCAGTTGTACCTCTAGTTATATATTCATTTCAATATCCCTACAAATGTATCCATTCTATGGATTCTCTGTGGAACCAGTTAGAAAATGTGCCTGGTGACAGAAATTGCCATGAAACACAAAACACACATCTTCATATGTTATATGCTCATTTATATACTCATGCTTACCTTGATCATCTTTGTCATTACTATTTGCAAACTCTGGTGAATATTTTGAACAATCTAGGCCCAGAAGTTCTTGCTGTTGTTTTAAAATTTCATCCATCAATCTGGAATTATTTCTTTTGAAAATACCTTTAAAAAAGAAAAAGGCAAGCAAATCACAACTAGGTTAATTTTTCCTCTTTAATGATTAATGAATGCTTATTGTGAAAACACTAGATCCAGAACTGAGCAAATGCCAAACAAAGCTGTAATGACTAGTCCTAAACTAGAATCTAAAAGGAAAATATGACAAGAAAACTTTGTTAATACAAGCGTCTGGCTTCTAGCAAAAAAAAAAAAAAAAAAAAAAAAGAGGTAACTACTTAAGTAGTAGCATGTGAATATGACAGAAATTTAGAATTAGAAAGGAATTTTAAAAGATCACTTACTTAAAATCTTTATGGTTTCAGTAACTGAGGCCTAACCTCTTTAAGGGTCTTTTCCAAGAAATTTAAATTGCAGCAGTGGTCTACAGCCTGTATGTTCCTCATTCACAGTGTAATGTACTTTTTCTGCATATTTACTACTTGCATTAAATACTATAGCCTCAATTTAATTAGATTTTTAAATCTTAAGAGGAAGTAATATGGATCATGTAAAAAGTAGAGAACAGAAAAAGTAACAATTTACAAATTAAAACAAAGCACAGAAATAAAATACATAAAACAATGTATGGCCTTCTATGCAGGAAACAGTTAACACTGTTAACTACTGTTATGTTATTGAGAAAGACAAAGGAACTACGTGACATACATTTAATGTAAAACTAGTAAGAGCTCTAAAAAAAAGCAACAAGTCTTTGACAACAGCTTTCTAGTGGGCACTGCCTTTTTAATCTTTATCAATTGTTCCTACTCTGTACTCTCAGTCAGGCCTGACTTTAAAGTAGTTCAACAAAATAACTGGGAGAAAGAACACAGGCTAATACACACACACACACACCCATATAGTTGCTTAAAACATCTTTTCCTTCAAATCAGTTCTCTTTGTAGAATTTCCAACTTTACCATATATTTATATATCTATTGTTTTAAATATAGATGTTTAATATATATAATATATAAATATATGGTAAAGTTGGAAATTCTACAAAGAGAACTGATATATATTTTTATATATTATATATATTAAATATGTTCATATATACACACACACACACACACACACACACACAGAGCACAGAATTTGCTGAATATACTGTATACAAATGCCAAGCCAGAAGTATATGTGCAACAATAGTTACAAAAGGAGCAAAAGTGGTCTCCTTTGGTGAGGAAGGCTTTATAAAATAAGACTTGAGCTGAGATGAACTCAGAAAGTTAAACAGAAGAAACCAGAGAGGATACTAGATGGGAAAAAATGCTTAAGAAAAAGCAAGAGTTTGGAATGATATGAGAAAAGGGGTAAGACGATAGTCCTAATTTTTATCTCATTCTGCCTACCAAATGGATAAGCAACAATTTCTGAGCAATGTGGAAATATGTGAAAATTTGTATCTTTAAAAGAATTAATCTGGCAGCAGGATATAGAAGGGCAAGCAGCAGACTGTGTTAGTCCATACACAATTTGTTGAGGCAATTAGGGGAAAAATAATTCATCACAAAGGAAGAATTGAGAGAATATGGTAAATGACTGACTTAGAAGTGAATGTAGAAAATTTCCTGGCTTTTATCCTAGGTAGCAGAAAATGATAAAATTTTTTAAAAGTTGAAAATTCCACAAAAAGAACTGGTTTGAAGAAAAGGTAAAGTTCAGTTTTAGACAGCTGATGATAGAAAATTTAGGTGGGGGTTACAATAGAAGTGATTAAGAGACATGACACAGAAGGAGTTCAAAAGAGGTCATGTAAGCACTAATGTGGGTAGGGATCTTATCTGTTTTCCTCACCAGGGCCAGCCACAGGGCCCGGCACAAAGCAAACAATAAATAAATGTCTGCTGAAATAATATGGGAGTTCAGAAATTGAGACAGAGATATACATTGGGTAGTCATCCTCCTTAAGGTGGGAGAGCCATACACACAGGAATCATGATTAGTAAGATTTGAAATATAAGTGGGTATATACAGAGAAAAGTAGAAGGCTAAAATGGCACTACATATGAATGCCCACAATTATTATAAAAGCCCACACTCATAAGACTCTAAGCATGGAAATATAAAAGTGAACATTCTGAAACAGCCTATCCAGAATAAGATTAAGCAAAAAATATATCACTAAACAGTATTAAAATTTTTAAAGGAAGTTGATTAATATCAGGAGCTATTTGAATGGCAATGTTTAGAACAGTAATACCTATGGAGAAATACAAAAGTGTAGGATATAATGATAATCCTCAAATCAATCATAAACTTCACATGTATGATATAAAAAGCATATATTCCAAAACAGTATATAAATATATGATGCTGGCTTATAAATTTTATAAGATTTCCAATTATCTATGCAGGTTAGACCACACTTTGGTCTGTACTGTACATATAAATTGTGGAAGTCATATGAATTTCAAAAATTTCTTAACAATGGGCTGGGTGCCAGTGGCTCTAACCTGTAATCCCAGCACTTTGGGAGGCCAAGGCAGGAGAACACTTGAGGCCAGGAATTACAGGCTAGCCTGGGCAACATAGCAAAACCCTGTCTCTACCAAAAAATTTTTTTTAATTAGCTGGACGTGGTGGCACACGCCCTTAGTCCCAGTGACTCAGAAGGCGTAGGTGGGAGGATTGCTTGAGCCCAGAAGTTCAAGGCTACAGTGAACATGCCACTAAACTCCAACTTAGGCAACAGAGAAAGACTCTTTGTCTTAAACAAATAAAAAAACAAACAAATGTAAAATCTCCATAACACTCCAGCCAGGATATATACGTTTATTAAAAATAAAATGGTAAATAACTCCCTTTCCCATAAAAACTAATATTTATTCATTTTAATAGTGTTGGGTAATAGTAGAAAGGCCTGCTTTGTCTGTTCATATCACACCAATCCCCTCCTTTGATACTCTTTTTAAAAACCTAGTCTTCAGTTCTTACCAATTTGCTCATATTTACATTAGCCTCCAGATTAAAATGGTAAATCTTTTCAGGAACTTTTGCCCTCTTCAAAGCAATGGATGACAATCTTATCACCAAAATATTCACTACCTCTCTTCAATCTTTATTCTTCCCTTCTCAGCTTTTCTGAAGCATTACCATTAATGACCACCATGCTTCCTTCCCCAAATTCTGTCTTCATCCCAACTTGTCTCAATGGTCTTCCTGATTCAACACCCAACCTGGCTCCTTGAAAGGCCCACTCTCACTTTCCACTGAATCCTTTCCTCTATTCACCCTAAATTAAGATTATTCCTCAGGGTTCCCACCTCAGCCCTTTCTTTTTGTCCATGTGTTCCTCCTTTCCTGATTCTAGTCACTTAAAAACAAAAAAAAAGCCCAGACAAAAATAAGCGTGGCAAAATTTTGGGTGCAAAAATTGAAGGGGGTGCCAAAATATCCAAGTAATTAAGATAATGAATAAGTATCTTTAAAAATTAAAATTAATGGAAAAGTAGCCATGATGAAAAAAACATTAAAATTTTTAATAGAAACAGACTCATTTAGTTCCTAACATTTCTATGTCATTCAAACATCTAATTCTACCATGAAGTTCTGTAGGCATCTGAGAGCATACAAAGCCAAACCTTGGCGGCTTATCTAATGCAGCTGACTCTCAAAACACTTATATGACATCAAGGTTAGAAAATAAATAAAAAGGATCAGGACTTTAAGTGTATAACTTATATGCACTTAAGGATGAGACTGGAAGAGGACAAGCAAAATGAGAATAGTAAATATATAGGGGTAGGACAACAGGTGATTTAAAATCATAACCTCTATAAAGTGGTTTATAATTGAAAACAAAGTCCATCTTCTTGACGCTCCATTTCTAAAAAAAAAAAAAAAGCATCAGTATCTGCCCAGTCACCCAGGCATCCTCCCTATTCTCCCATTATCACCCCTCAAAGCCCTACTAATTATGCTAAACTCATACTCCTTTCTGTCCATTGCCCCCACTTTTCCAAGCCATTGTGTTGTTCTTTATTATATATACACATATATATTTTTAAGAAGCAGGTACTCACCCTGTCATCCAGGCTGGAATGCAGTGGGGCTATCATAGCTCCCTGCAGCCTCAGCTTCTAGGCTCAAGTGATTCCCCTGCCTCAGCCTCCTGAGTAGCCGGGACTACAGGTGCACACCACTGTGCCCAGCTAATTTTTTTATTTTTTATTTTTGTAGAGATAGGGGTTTGCTTTGCTGATCAGGCTGGTCTCCAACTCCTGGACCTCAAGTGATCCTTCCTCCTCAGGCCTCAAAGAGTTCAGATTATAGACATGAACCACTGGCCCAGCCTACTTCCTTATAATATTATAACCAACTTCTGTGGGTGTTTCTGCCCCCTTCTATTAAGTACTGCTAGCTTCACTACCAGATTCTTCTTCTTTGAGTACATCTTTAGTTCTGGCACATTCCAACTTCAGTATCTTAAATGGTTCCTAAAATGCCTAGTGTATTAAGAACAAACTGCTCAGTGCAACATTAACATTCTAGCCTATGCCTCCATGCTTGTTGAACAGAAATCATTTATTTTATGAAATAAATGAGGCTTTCCACTTCTCAGTAATACTTTAACCCCACAAATTAGAATTGCCTAAGTTCCTCAAAAACACATGCAGTGACTCCAACCTCCATCCTTTATGCCACTTTCCCAAGCCCATGACTGTTAAATTCTCCTAATTCTTCACAGGCCAGCTGAAATATCACTTACCTTCAAGAGGCCTTTCCCAATTCCCCAGGCAGATGTGCCCCATTCCTCCTCTGACTTACCCTCACCCTCATCCCCTCCACATACACTCATCTAAACTTGTTAATAAACTAATATTCTACTTTTTATTATAGCTTAAATCTCTCCACTCTCCCTCTCCCACTAAATTGTAGAGTTACTTGTGAACATGTGCCTTACTCATCCCTTTTCCCATATTTTCCATACAGCAGTTCAATGTTTATTTAATAAACTGAATTACCAATGTACAAAGTGCCACTTAACAACAACAAAA